TGCCCTGCCCCCCATTCCTTACCATATATAAACTGTAACCCGTCCCTAATAAACGGAGGCTTTGACAAATCTGCTTGGCTTCCTTCTTCTGTCTTAGCTCATTCCCTTCCAGGTAGCGCCCCTCCGTGACCCTGGAATAACTGATTGCAGGGTGGGTTACAAACCCCTAGACTGAGTAACCCACCCCAACGCAATCAACAGAAATCATCTTCATCATAATCCACAGGTAAAAATGCCCAGTAGAATGGGATATTCCCATGAGATAATCACACTACATCAAGGGCAGTGAGGATCGCTCCACACCCATTCACACCATGCCAGATAGCAGAGAAAAATAACAGAAGCAAACATGGAAAGGCACAGGAACAGCAAGAGGCATTCTGCAGCTGAAGCCCTGGGGCCTTCCTTGCCTATCCGAAATTCACCTTTTAGTGCCTTGCTGCCTGGTGGGACAACTCCTGAAGCGCAACTGCCACCTGCTGGTCTTCTGACATGGCCACTGGCACTTCCCCTTTACCATTTCTCTCAGATCCTTTTATCGTACTGTTATTGAAACACACCTTAAAAAGGAGATTGAAAGGGCTAGAGAGATGTCTCAGAGGTTAAGAGCACTGGCAGCTCTTCCAAAGATTGTGAGTTCAATTCCCAGTAACCACATGATGGCTCACAACCATCCAAAATGAGATCTGGTGTCCTTTTCCGGCCTGCAAGTATACAGAATGTTGTATACAGAATAAATAAATCTTAAGAGAGAGAGAGAATGAATCAGACAAAGCTAGGTGTTTCTGCTGATAAAGCTTTTCCTGTAGTCTTAGGAGCTTCACTCTAATCCAGTGAACTCTAGTCAGTGTGTATATATCATGTAATAGAAACCTGGAACCCCACCCTCTCACACACAAATGCAGACACATAGATACACATAATATTGGGGGTGAGGGGTAGAGATAGGTTTTCTCTGTGTAATATCCCTGGCTATCCTGGAACTCACTTTGTAGACCAGGCAGGCCTCAAGCTTATGGAGATTCACCTGCCTCTGCTAGTATTAAAGACATGTGCCACCTGGCTTAATACACAATCTCTTAAACCTGTCAGTACATGGGAAAAGGCTAGCTAGTGGACATGACAGTTAATAATAACAGGAAAAATAGAATCCTAGGGAGAGATCTGTGAGCAAATGTGTAAATGCAGAAAACAAGAAGGTGTGTTGAACAGAGAATGGGGAGACATTTAATTCACCTAGATCACTTAAGTAGGAGAGAAGAGTAAAAAGTAGTATTAAAATGAGCAAAGTCAGTTTAAGGTTTAACTATTGGAAACTAGGCAGCTAACCTGCTTATTAGAGAGAAAAGTAGGTGATCATAGCACTTGAGAAAGACTGTTCTGATAGTTTCAGGCATGACAATACGGGTCCAGCAGAAAGGATCCACCTAGGAGGTTATCAACATAAAATGGAAAGGGGAGGAAGGGTGGACTAAGGACTAGTTTGTAAGTTACTTTTGGATTGTTGTGAAAAAAAAATTGAAACAGAAGGAAAATTTTATTTGGATTGTCTTTTTTCAGAGATTTCAGCCCATCTTGATGCAGAAGGAATGGGAGAGGAGCAGCTCTGTGGAAGCTGAAATATGTGAGGGCAGCTTGTCAAATTTTGGCAGACCAAGAAATAGAAAGCTAGACCGGAAGCAGAGACCTGCTCTTAGTAACCAATCCATGAGCTAGACACCGTGGATTTTTTGTTTTGTTTTGTTTGTTTTTTTGAGACAGGGTTTCTCTGTGGTTTTGGAGCCTGTCCTGGAACTAGCTCTTGTAGACTAGGCTGGTCTCGAACTCACAGAGATCCGTCTGCCTCTGCCTCCCGAGTGCTGGGATTAAAGGCATGCGCCACCACCGCCTGGCGACACCGTGGATTTTTTTTGTTTTGTTTTTCATTTGTTTTTGTTTTTTGAGACAGGGTTTCTCTGTGTAGCTTTGGTGACTGTTCCGGAATTTGTGCTATAGACCAGGCTGGCCTCGAACTCAGAGATTTGCCTGCCTCTGCCTCCCAAGTGCTAGGATTAAAGATGTGTACCCCACCACTGCCAGACTTAGATACCTTGTTTTCCTCCACGGCCTTCACAAGATCACAGGCTCGGGAACAAATGTTCAAAGAGGAGCCCATAGAGGGCACTTCACACCCAAATAAATAATAGCATTTTGTCTCTGGTCCATGAAAGCTCCTTGTATATATGACCATGTGTGTATTACATATGTCTGACAGTGAGTCTCAGCTTTTATTGCTCACTCTGGCAAAGAGGGGCCTCGTGATTAGCTTTAGGGACTTTATGAAGCCATTTTGAGTTGTTTACTTTCCTACTTAAGGAGTGTCCCTGCTGGGTGGAATATTACAATCTCAGAAGAAACTGTTACACAGCCCCTCCAAGATACACTGAACTGTGCCTCATAAATCTTGTAACAATACAGTCACCACAGGTTGATGTAGTTATAGCAGTAGGTACCTGGCATCTGATTTTCTACTTTTGTTGTTGTTATTACTACTATTTTTTTTTTTTTTTAAAGATAGGGCTTCCCTGTTGTAGTCCCGGCTACCCTGGAACTCCTTGGAACCAGGCTGGCCTCAAGAGATTTGCCTGCCTCTACCTCCTGAGGGCTGGGATTAAGGGTGTGTACTATACATAATTTCTTTCTTTTTTTTCTTTCTTTCTTTCTTTCTTTCTTTCTTTCTTTCTTTCTTTCTTTCTTTCTTTCTTTCTTTCTTTCTTTTTTGGTGTTTTTGAGATAGGGTTTCTCCGTAGCTTTGGAGCCTATCCTGGAACTAGCTCTTGTAGACCAGGCTGGCCTCGAACTCAGAGATAAACCTGACTCTGCCACCCTGAGTGTTGGGTGCACCACCACCACCTCCAGGCGTGGAGTGCTGGACTTTAAAGGCGTGTGCCACTGCTGCCAAGCTGGGCTACCGATACTTCTAAGCTGTGACTTGTTTCTCAGAAATTGTCTCAATACTTCTCTTTCATCTCTGTTCCTTGGATCCTCTTAAAGCCTTCATACACCGGGCGATGGTGGCGCGAGCCTTTAATCCCAGCACTCGGGAGGCAGAGGCAGGCGGATCTCTGAGTTCGAGGCCAGCCTGGTCTACAAGAGCTAGTTCCAGGACAGGCTCCAAAGCCACAGAGAAACCCTGTCTCGAAAAAACAAAAAAAAAAAAAAAAAAAAAAAAAAAAAAGGCCTTCATATGTGCTGTTTGGAAGACAACTGAGCCTATTTTAGAGCCTCCTTACCTAACTTCACCAGGAAGGCCTCTGCGTTAGCCTTTCTCTTTAAAAATGTGTCTCATTGAGCCGGGCGGTGGTGGTGCACGCCTTTAATCACAGCACTCGGGAGGAAGAGGCAAGCGGATCTCTGTGAGTTCGAGGCCAGCCTGGTCTACAAGAGCTAGTTGCAGTACAGGAACCAAAAGCTACGGAGAAACCCTGTCTCGAAAAATCCAAAAATAAATAAATAAATAAATAAATAAATAAATAAATAAATAAATAAATGTGTCTCATTACTATATAACCTTGTTTTTTTCACAAAGTTTATCACAATTATATTTTCTCTCTCTCTCTTGATTTTTCAAAAACAGGGTCTCTCCGTGTAACAGCCCCAGCTAGCTGTCCTAGAACTAACTCTGTAGACCCAGACTAGCATCAAATGCACAGAGATCCGCCAGCTTCTGCCTCCCTCCCAGTGCTGGGATTAAAGGCGTGCGCCACCACCACCCCATTCATCAAAACTTTCAAGTTCTTTACTCAAGCCTTGGCCGCCTTGAAGATAAAGTCAGTATTCCTTAGGGTAGAGAGTTTATCCTAAAGATAGTCTTAATCCCTGTGCCTAGAACAAGATTTAAGGAGGAACAGTAGACACTACTAAATGAATAAATGAAAAGCACATTACGTAACAGCCTCAGATTCTGTCTCACGTTAATCATCCTACCAAACGTTTCAGGAGGGAGATCTGCACCCCTGGGTGTAGGAAGCACAGCAGCAAAGTCCGCAAATCACGTGCCTTTCGGCCCTGGAAGGGGGGGGAGGTTCCCTGGACCGTCAGGAAGCGCGGGGCGGGACGACGTGCAGAGGCCACGCCCCCGGACGGCCCGAGGCCACGCCCCGGACGTCCCGCTTCGTCCGCCCTCCTCAGCGCTGTGACGTTCCGCGCGAGGCACGGAGCGTAAACAGCGCAAGGCCTTTCGGGAGCGGGATTGTTTCAGTCAGGAAGCAGGCTCCATTTTAGCGCCGCCCGCCGTCGCCATCTGTTCCTCTCCCCTCCCCCTCGTCGCCGTGGTGGCCGAGTCCCAACTGGAAGGCTGAAGGCCAGGCCGCCCGAGGCCAGCGCGGAAGGCGGGAAGGAGGAGAAGAAGAGGCCGGGAGGCCGGGAGGCCGGGTGCGCGTAAGGAGCTGAGTGGAGCAGGTCAGGCCGGAGCGCGCGGCCCGCCGGACGGACGGACTGACGGACGGACTCGTGCGCCTGCGGCCGCGGCTGCGGCGCCCGCGCGACTCGCGTCCCGGCGGTGGCGGCGGCGGAAGCCGGAGGGCAGCCATGGCGGCCGACAGCCGGGAGGAGAAAGGTGAGCGCAGAGGATGGGGACCCCGGGCGGCCGGCGAGGGCACCGGGGAGCCGCGGCGTGCGGGAGGGCGTGCGGGCGGGGCTGGAGGTGCGGGCCTGGCGTCGAGCGGGCGGTCGAGAGGCCTGGCCGGGCCTGGCGTCCTCCCCTCGTGGGGCCTCACACGTCGGCCCGGACCTCACTTCGGACTCGGCTTGTAGCCGTCCCGGGAGCGGTTGGGGAGGGCCTGCCCCGAGGGGCCTGCCCCCAGGCTCGCTTCCTAGGAGGATTATGCGGATGTCATGCGTCTTTTCTGAACTATCTTTCTGATCGACGTATTCGAAAATTATGTCCTAGGTAGCGTTGGTAGACTAATGGTTAGGCCAGTTTAAATGATACGGGTGGGTTATGGGTTTCGAGAAATACCTGAAAGTAACTTCTGTTTTCTTAGATAAACAAAGAACTGTGTTGTATTCCTTGAGCGCTTACTTTAGAAAGGAAGATGCTAGAAGAAAATAAAATGCCCCCCCAACCCCGCCCCAAATCCTGTCAGCTCACCACCCAGAAATACGGTGCAGCCAGGAATACATAGGTGCAGATTACTTGGAGAGATAAATTGGAAGAGCTTGTGCTGATAAAATGCCATTTCTTCTGAAATTCTGACTTTCCAGAGACCACAGATGCTGCTGTAGGCTCCAGATTAGGACGTTCGCTGGAGAGTGGTCTGGATTGGATGCTGGCCTGAGCTATTTCTCAGCTCTTGAGCTACCATGCCAGTCTTGGAATAGTTAGTTTGATGAAAATAAAATAAAGCACAATTGCTGCCGTATACTCCTCAAGCCTCTGTGTGGCTCCTTAATTTGAGATGGCGATTTGTTCACTTAGATGAAGCTTTTTGGGTTTTCCTGATCGGGGTCAGTAGGTACGCTTCACTGAATTGCTGTGGCATAAAGACGAGCTTTGGAAGTGGAATGAGTGAGAGTCTATGTGAGATAATGCCTTTGTCATTTGCTTTTTTTTGGAGACAGGGTTTCTCCTTAGCACCAGGCTGTTATGGAACTTGCTCTGTGGACCAGGCTGGCCTTGAACTCCGAGATCGGCCTGCCTCTGCACCCTGAGTGCAGATTAAAGATGTCTGGCAGCTCTTCCAGCTTAAACAGTTCTTCTACTAAGTGCAGTTTTATTTTCTATCCTTAAACTAGCACCCCAGAATTGCCCCTGCGACATCCTCAAGGAATGCGAACAAAGAATTCTGTTAGCAAATAAAAGGAATTACTTTTTTAAATTATAGTGAAGTCAGTTTAAAAAAGATCTTAACGTCATCTTATCAACAATTATCAACAGTTAAAGATTCATTCAAACTTTGGTTGTCACGATGAAATTTCTAACTTAAAAGTATGAGGTTCCAGTAGCTCTCAAGTTAGGCAAAGTGAACCAAACACAACAGTGACAAAGATTCAGTGGTCAGTGTGTTGCCTCTTAAAGTGGACATACCTTAGAAAAATGAATATATACAGTAATGCAAAGTGAAGAAAAGTAATGATCATTTGGTTTTAGAAATGTACTTACTAGGGAAGGTGCAGTCCAAACACATAAGTATTATTGAGAAGTAGTGGTATTACTTTTCATCAGTGCTTAGAATTATTGGAAATAGTTACTTAAAACTTAAATTTTTAAACTATGCTTTCTCATTTACATTTTCTGGTTCAAGGGATTCTTTTTACAGTTAAAATAAAGATTATTTTTTCTATGCAAACAGCTAGTAGTCTACTGGAAGTACTTAGTTTCATTTGACCATTGTCAGACACTTAAGAATTATAGGCAAAATTAGAATCAGTAAGTAACACTTGAACAAGGAAAATTGAGAATGTTAAATATTGTTACATATTTTACAGCACATTATAAAGCTGTGCCCTCTAGTCTTGTCTTGCCAAAACTTAAGTTTTTAATAAATCCCTACGTTTTGGAAAGCCTTGATCAAAAACAAGTCTCAGTTGGCAGAAAATTGCAACTCCTGTGTGTTAATCCCAGAATGAATTTTAAAGAAAGCCTTAGGAATTCTTAAATTGGGCTTTGTAATAAACACCTTAATTCCATAATTTGTCATAAATCCTTGCTACCTGGACAGATTACCAGGTTGACAATTTGTCCAAACAGTAAATTTGAAATAATCAGAGTTGACTGTTTTGTGGCGGTTTTTGTTTTGTTGTTGTTTTGCTTTTTTGAGGATGCTGGGAAACAAAGTGCCCACTGTGTGTCAGGCAAGTACTCTACTATTGAACCACATCCCTAGCTCTTCATTTTTCTGTAGGATGAAGAAATGCACATGTTTTCTGTTAAAGTAAAATTTTGCATGAATTTTATTTGAGCTCCTACAGTGTAAAGTTGAGAGCTGAGTTTTTAGTTATACACATACATACACACAACTAACTGTATGTAGATATACATCTACCTGTATACATGTTGTGGTCAGCAGTATTGTGAACTAGTTACCTGAGGAAAGGCTCCGTAAAACAGTTTGTGTTTGATACACCCCCCCCCCCCCCCCCCCCCCCCCGTCTCATTTTGGGTCATGTTTTGGTTTACCTGTAGCAGAAGTAAGTGGAAAATTAATATACTATCTTTAGGTGTCAATTGATGGTATGGAGGGTGGGAAATAATGAGGGGAGGTTTCTCCAAGTCTCTGGACATCATTAAAAGAATGATAGTTTGCAGGCTGGAAGGATGGCTCAGCAGCTAAGTATACTTGGTTGCTCTTGGGAATACTCTAGTTTGGTTCCGAGAACCCACATATAAGCTTACAACTGTCCTTAGCTCCATTTCCAGATTCCAATGCCTGACCTCCACCAGGCCTCATGGTGCACATACATACATACATACATACATACATACATACATACAGGCAAAACACTGACACAATCAGAAGGGTGGTTTTTTGTTTTGTTTTGTGGTGTTGGCTTTTCTCTGTGTAGCTTTGGTGCCTGTCCTGGAACTAGCTGTTGTAGAACAGGCTTGTCTCAAACTCAGAGATCCACCTGTCTCTGCCTTCCGGGTGCTGGGATTAAGGCATGTGCCACCACCAGCACCACCCAGTTTAGGATGGTAGTTTTTAATAACTGAAATAGCTGAGGGATTATCCTAATATAAGGAAATGTACTTTGCATGATAACAAAAGGTGAGATTTCCAGACATCCTGTTTTACCTCCCTGAAACTGTTAAGTGAACGGAAGAGAAAAGAGAGGTGAATTTCCTTGCCTGGGCTTGAAAACGTGCATTTAACATTTTCTTAATCTGATTATGAACCTTGAAATAAGTAGTATTATGTATTGTTTGACCTACAGTCTAATGTGGTCGAGTTGTGTGTCTCAGATGAGGATTGCTTACACCAATCTCTCTTCAGTTAAGGTTTATGACCTTTTTATGTAGAGTTAAGATTTTAGTTAAGGCGCTTAAATTTGTATTTTATTTCAGAATTCTTTGTACAAAACATAGCCATCTAAGGCTAGTCTACCTTGAGAATCCTGTTCTTATTTCTATCTAAAGCCCCGCAACAAGCAGAATTACTTGCCTTGTTGCATTTAATATCTCTCTGAGATGAAAACAAGGCTCTAAGAAGTGATTCCTGTTTTGTTTTGCCTCCTATACCTAGAAAGCTGTAGTTTTACCTCAAACTCAGTTTGTTAATAGTAACATAACATTCCATATATGAAAAGTAATGTAAATAGAAGACAATTGCAGATTGTCTTTTTTTAAGAGGGGTAATTAAGTTGTTTTTAAATTTTTTTTCCTTAAATTGAGGCAGCATTTAAAAGTAACACTGTCCTAAGTAAAATTTGGGTTTGCCAATATGAATGAAAATTTGCAGGACGTGATAACAATACTTGGATTTTGTTAACAGTCTACAGTGATTGTGTTGGACTCTAGTGTCCAAACACTGAGGAGTCGCCCCCAGAGACCACACACCACAGCTGATGCAAAAGCATGAGGATTTTATTAATTCTGTCATGACAGGGTCCCCCAGCTATTGAGGGACCTCGAATAGCGGGTACAGTCTACTTTTAAAGGGGCCACAGAAGCAAGGGGGGTTGTTCTTTGACTATTCTGATTGGCTTATTTGAAAGGGCTATTACCAATAATTGACTGGAGAGCTGTTGCCAAATCAGATGAGGTAAGAGGTCATTTTGACCCCATTTCCCAGGGGACCGAACCAAAGCATACGTATGGGTAATTGTTCAGGAACTGAATACGTGAGAGTGTAGCTGTTAGGTCCTTGGTTCCCAGGGGAGGAGGGGAAAGCACTATGGCACAGAGGCTGAGAGGATTCAGAATTGTCAAAAATGGCTTCAGGATTGTCTTAAAGTCTTACAATTGCTTAGGATTGTTTTTGCCCCTGTATTTTTATGTTAAATATTTGGCTCCTTTTTTTTTTCCTTTTTTCGAGACAGGGTTTCTCCATAGCTTTGGAGCTTCTCCTGGAACTAGTTTTAGTAGACCAGGCTGGCCATGAACTCAGAGAGATCCTCCTGTTTCTGCCTCTCGAGTGCTGGGATTAAAGCTGGTGTACCACCACTACCCAGTTATTCGGCCCTATTAAAGACAAAGCATCCAGTAGCTTAGTTCTTCTGTTGACTCTTAATATACAGCCTTTGAGTAGATTTGAACCTTAGTTCTAAATAGAAATACTCTTGAAGGAAATCTGTTTCGTTGAACTAATTTTAGTTGCATTGTCCACATTTTGAAATAAAATATTTGTTTTGTGATAGTTTAATTTTGAAACAGATTTAGATGCTTTAAAATGATTTTAGGTCTAGTTTTCTGTGTAGCCATCAAAGGAAAAACTGAAAAGTTTATTTTAATCCCACACAAAATAGGATTATACAGTACATGGATTATATGGCCATACAATTTTTAAGCTGGTGTTCACCAACTTAAGTTCCTTTTACTGTTAGTATTCTTAGGTAAGGCTGTTGTTCTATGAAGTAACTGAATCTATACATATTATATATGTATGTAGAAAGGGGCTT